TTTGGTGCTCTGACGGCACAGTTTTGTGTGTATCTGTGGTCTGACGGTGTGTGTGTGTGTGTGTGTCAGTGGCATTTAGACCGGCGTGATGACGGAGGAGCGCTGTCCTCAGCTGGTGGATTATTTCGTGGTGGCGGGTCTGTCGGGCGACTCGTCTCCGCTGGACGAGGAGGGTCAGCAGAGGGGTGTGAGAGCGCTGCAGCCCGTCACTGATCTGGCCGTGATCGCCCGTGGCCTCGGGGAAGACGTTCCTGAGGGCTTCACCTGCATCGAGAAGACCCAAGCAGGCCATCCGGCGGAGCTGAGCGCAGGCCTGCTCAACAACACACACATGTTCCTGTGCTACCGCAGAGGACACGACAAACCACCCCTCGTCGAGCTCGGGTGAGAGAGACCGTTCAACCTTTTAGACAAAATGTAGAAAAAGTTTGCATGTGTGATTTTGTTGCTCCATCAGTCTGATAGTCTGATACAGTGAGAATATAGAGACTCAAACTGAGCAAAAATGTAGATTGAGTGTGAAACAGGTTTAACAGCAGAGTTTGATCATGTAGTCCTGTGTGTGTCAGATATGAGAAGCGGCTCGTTCACGTCGACTGATGGATGTGTTTTGTGTTTGTGTTTGTGTCAGTGTTCTGTACGAGGGCAAGGATCCGGTCCGGTCGGGATGGCAGGTGATCGAGACGACCCCGTACAGTCGTTCTGCGAGCCTGAGCTCCGGCGGTCCCACGATGCACCGCACTTTCCTGATGTTCCGCCGAGCGCCGGACTCACAGGCGCTGAACACGCTGGGCATCACTGAGATCTCGCTGCTGATGCCTAGCAAGGGCGAGACGGCGCCGCACACCTACTGCAGAGTGGACAAGAACCTCAACACCGGCATGGTGATGATTCACTGAGTCACTGAGTCACAGATTCACGGATTAATTGAGTCACTGAGTCACTGAGTCACTGATTCATTGAGTCACTGATTTGCTGATTCACTGACTCACTGAATCACTGATTCACTGATTCATTGAGTCACTGATTTGCTGATTCACTGAGTCACAGATTCACGGATTCATTGAGTCACTGATTCATTGAGTCACTGATTCATTGAGTCACTGATTTGCTGATTCACTGACTCACTGATTCACTGATTCATTGAGTCACTGATTCGCTGATTCACTGAATCACTGATTCACAGATTCATTGAGTCACTGATTTGCTGATTCACTGACTCACTGGATCACTGATTCACTGAGTCACTGATTCATTGAGTCACTGATTTGCTGATTCGCTGACCCACTGAATCACTGAGTCACAGATTCACGGATGAATTCAGATGATCGAGTGTTTCTCTCAGCTTTATTCTTTAAGCACTCATTGGTTTGTTACCTTCATATCAAACAACTTACACTGGTCAGTACGATTTTTTTTCAATACTTTTATTCATCAAGGATGCATTAAATGAATCAGTAAAGACATTTATAATGTTACAAAAGATATTTCAATCAAATAAATCAAATTCTTTTGAACTTTCTTTTCATCTGTGAATCCTGAAAAATAAAATGCATCACAGTTTCCACAAAAATATTGTGCAGCACGACTGTTTTCAACATTGATAATAATCAGAAATGTTTGTTGAGCAGCAGATCAGCATATTATACTGATTTCTGAAGATCATGTGACACTGAAGACTGGAGGAATGATGCTGAAAATACAGCTGCCCATCACAGAAATAAATTATATTTGAACAGATATTCACATAGAAAACAGCTGTTTTACATTCTAATAATATTTCATAATATTACTGTTTTACTGTATTTTTGATAACTTAAAATAGAATAACATAAAATAAAATAACTAAAATAAAATTGCAATAAATTATAACAAAACAATTATAATTCATTTAAAATGGAAAAAAAATCAAATTAAAATTTTTACAGATCCACTTATATATCATATTTGCATAGAAAACAGCAATTTTAAATTGTAATAGTATCTCACTTTTTTTTACTGTATTTCTGATCAGATAAATGCAGCCTTGATGAGCAGAAGAGACTCTTTCAGAAACATTAGTAAATCTTACTGACCTCAACATTAGCACTCTGCTGTGTGTTAGTATGCAGTGGATTTAAATCTGTCTCCGTGCGTGTTAAACGAGCGCTGAGCTTGTAATTGTCCACATCTGCTTCTCCTTCCTATTGAAACACTCTTCAGAAAACACCATCAGTTGTGCACTCCCTCTTCTGCTTTCTTAGTCTGTTTCTCTGACTCTCGGATTCTTCTCTGTTGGTTTTTATTGTGTGTGTGTGTGTGTTCAGTGGGGTCCGGCGCTGTACCTCTGCTACAAGCGTTCAGTGGCTAAAGCGAACGCACTGGTGTACGAGGCAGGTGAGTGTCACACACACACACACACACACACATGCACACACACACACACACACACACACGTGCGCTCTCTCTCTCTCTCTCACACACACACACTCTCACGCGCACACTCACACTCACACGCACA